GCTGGGGCCTCCAGAAATGTTGCACCAGAGTGAGTGAAAATTCAACACCAAGACAAAAGTATGCCAATTGCAGGGTCTTTATTGCCGGTAGCCACGGAGGACTTAAGTCTCTCCAACCCATGGCCCCGAGCTCAGGGAGAGCAAGGCATTTAAGCTGCAAAACCACATCCTTGTTCGGGGTGGGGGCCCAGGGGTGTGCAAGGCAAGCTGTCTGTACAGAAGCTAAAGTTAGCGGTTTATTGCAAGGGGAGGGGGGTAGCAGTGGAAATTTTTACCCTTAACACCTCTGAGAACTGCAGTACAATTACACCTCTGCCCAGGGCCCAGGTGGCTTCTCTATTAGATGGCAGTGCTTAGGCTTCTGTTTTTGCCCCTATCTCAGAGCTACTCTTCCATAACACCCAGAAAGAAACACTATCTGTATGTCTGTTTTCACAAGAGCTTTCTCCATAGGTGGTATTGTGTAATCATAGGCACTCTACAGGTCGTAGCCTGCAACTGCGCAGAGCCCTGCGTGGGGGCCGTGGCGTGCTTGGAGAGCTTGGCAAAGCGGAGCTGCATGCCACCCTCCTCCGTGGGCCAGGCCCGCTTGCTGGGTGAAACGGCAGGTGTCTCTTCAGAACAGGTCATGGCAGAGCCAGAAGGCGAGCAAGGAGAGCCTTTGCTACACTCTTTATATATATTGTATTATATATAATATTGTATATATATTATATTGCATTATATATATTGTATATTGTGTTAAGCACTATGCTGCATTCTTTATATATATATGTATATATGTATATGTATATATATATAGTGTATTTTGTTAAGCACTTTGTTACATTCTTTATATACATACACATATATTTATATTGTATTATATATATTAATACTTATACATTATATATATTTACATATATAAAGAATGTAGCAAAGTGCTTAACACAATACACATGTAACTGGCACATAGTAAGTATATATACATATATATATGTATGTATATATATTCTCCCTTCACATTGACCCTGTGAAGAAATATTTTTCCTATTTTACAGATGTGGAAACCAAGGTTTGGAGCAATATGCCTACAGTCACAGGGCTGCTCAGTGACAGAACAAGGGTTTGAACTTAGAGCTGATGCTAAATCCTGGTCTGTTCAGCATCCAAAAAGATAAGGTGAGCTCTAAGAGTCATTTGGCAGAAAAGGAAGTGGGGCGAGATCATGATGCATCAGGGTTTCAGAAAAGAGGAAGAGGGCTGCATCCTCCGATCAGGAGTGTGGGGAAGTGAGGAGGTGGGAAGAGGGAAGCTGAAGGTGTTCAAATGCAGCTGCCCCTCAAGTCATTCATTCCTTTGAAGTAGGCCATTTTATCTGCTGAGGGTGAAAGGAACAGGGAAAATAAAGGCTTCAGGAAAGGGTCAGAGACTTGCTGCAGATCTTGTAAAAAGCTGGGAAGAACACTGACTGCTAAAGCTTCCTGGCAGCACCAAGCACTCAGCTAGGACTGGACGTCATCATTTCATAATTGACTTGCTCTAGACATGCACAACAGGCCTGGGCCATGAGCAGGGGAAACCAAGAATGGGCTAATCTAGGACTAAAAATAATCAGAGGAGAGGCAGTGACCACCGGGGCAAAGGAAGTGAGCGTGGCGTTGAAGTGACTGACTGACAATAAAGTTTGGGCCAGGGAGAAGAAATTAAGAGACAGCGGATAAGCCTTAAGAAGGTAGAGGACAGAAGGAAAGGACAACTCGATGGAATGAAAAAATAAGTTAATGAGAATGGAGGACTGTGAAAACTGGGGTTTTGAGCAGAGTAGAGTTTCAGAGTGCAACATTTCAAGGGTGGGGAAATTCTGTGGAGTAAGTTGCAAGTGTGGCCTCGGTATGTGGCCTTGTTGAAGTGGCACGGAGGGGGACAGTCATTACAGTGGGGACAGTCCAGGAACTGGGAGGCTAGACTATGGATCTTCAAGTCCTCTTTAGAGAATGGTAGAGACTAAGGCACTGACACTATTTAGTATTCTGTCCATATTCATGTAACTTTATTCTTTTTACTTTTGTTTAATTTTTATTTTTTGTAGAGATGGAGTCTTGCTATGCGACCTCCTGGCCTCAAGCCATCCTCCTGCCTTAGCCTCCCAAAACACTGGGATTATAGGTGTGAGCCACCACACCTGGCCTTCACATACCTTTAAAAACTAGTATGTCTTCAATGAAATCATTTACGAAAAAAATGTAATTGAAGATAGGCCTTTGGCACGTCATCGCTGTCTGCATGCTGATGTGAATCTGTTAAATGGCAACTAAGAGTGATCAGAGCTTCACAAGTGAGCAGGCCTATTCTTATCCATAGGCGAAGGGTTACACTGCCCTTCCCTAGGTCACTGCCTCTCCCTCTAAGTCCTATGTGGACCTACCACTAAACTGAGTGTCTGTCTCCCTTTGACCTAAAGATATCTGTCCAAGGGGAAAGCAAGACCTTATTCTTGCTGTGAATGCCCATCACTGGCTCTGAAGAAGCTGACTTCAGGACAAAGTAGACACTCGTGAGGGCCAGCCATGCCATGCACCTCCCACAAAGATGCTCATCTTCAAAGAGACCTGTGGGGCAAGCCTGCCCTGAGTGGTTCTGCTACTTGGTTTGAACAACATATTACAGAGTCTTCTCCTGCAGCATGTGAAATACCATATGCCCTCTTCAAGAGGCTGTTTATTCTCTGGGAGCTGGATGCGATGTTTTCTCCTCCTCCTCCCCTTTGGTCTCCTTCTCTTGTACTTCTCCTTGCCTCATATTCTTTTTACATTATAACTGTGTGAAAGGCAGAGACTTTCTGGCAAAACTTCCCTGGTAGCTCACTTAACTTCTTTTTCTCCACTTCCAACTCAGCCTTCCCACTTAGCTTCTCCCCACCCGACCCCATCTAAAGTAACTCTTAAGAGCTTCTTGCAGCAGCTGGGAAAAACATGCTCCCCTCTACCCGACAAAATAAATAAATAAGTAAGTAAACCTGCATTTTATTTTCTTCTAGGACTATCTTTTTATAAGTCTATTATTCAGTTAAGGCAAGATGCAACAGGTTCAGTAAATCTAAACATCTGGACTATGAAGAAGCATATATACATCTTAAATATCTCTTAAACACATCCCTAGTTCTTGGTCTGTTTTCTGTTTCCAACAATAGCTGGAGAGGCACAGAAGGACCATGATCAAATTCCAACCAGGCACCGAGGAGAGGGCAAGGTGGTTTAACATCAGAAAGCAGAATGGTGACTGCCAGGGGTTAGAGGAAGGGAAGAATGGGAAATTCGTGTTCAGTGAATACAGGGGTTCAGTTTTGCAAGGTAAAATGAGTTCTGTGGATGGACGATAGCACAATAGTTTGAATCTACTTAATGCCATTGAATTCTACATATAAAAATGGTTGACAGTAAATGTATGTTATGTATATTTTACCACAATTTTTTTTAAAAAAACAATACCTGGAACTCATCGAGCCATTAAAAATAATGGTCGTTCAGACTTAGTAGCAACATGGATAAAAAGGCTAATGATAACTTGAAGTTTTATTAAAAACCAGGGAAAAAATAATACATATAACTATAATTATTTAAAACAAATCTATAGAACTAGTGGGGAAGACTGGCAGGAAACACATGGAAGTGCTAATAACGGATGTGTCAAGTGGCACAACCTCCCTTTTCCATATTTTAAAAAGTTTTATATGGGTAAAAACTTTACTAATGAAAAATTGTTCCTAATATTTAAAAATGTTTAAAACAAAGCAGATTCCTTCCTGGCCATAGGGATTTCTTCACATAACTTCATGTCCCTAGTAGACACTTAGAGAAATCTATACTGAAGAGTCATTGGTTTTTCATGTATTGACATCTATTTACTGAGTGCTATCTAGGTACGGCCACTGTTACAGGTAGTGGGGATATAGGATGAACTAGAAAAAGTCTCTACCCTCATGGAAATTACATTCTAGTGGAAATTACATTGAGTGTTCAGACCTAACACTCAAATAACAAACCAAAGATACTCGATGCTGATAGCACTGGGTAGAGAATTAAAACAGGTAATATAACAAATATAGTCAGCCCTCCATATCCACGGATTTCACATCTGTGAATTCAACCAATTTCTTGGATCAAAAATATTGTGGAAAAAATGCCACAAAGTTCTGAAAAGGAAAACTTGAATTTGCTGAGTATTAAGACAAATCCATGGGAATGAAGTATGCAGAGGCATCGTGTTAAGTATTATAATGTAATCTGGAGATGATTTAAAAGATGTGGGAGGATGTAGGTTAAAGGCAAAGATATGCATTTCATATAACAGACTTCAGCACACTTGGATTCTGGTGTTTAGGGGGGGTCCTCTAACCAATGCCCTGTGAATACTGAGGGATGACTGCGCTGGCATTTTTATGCTGGGAGATCAGGAAAGGTTCAAAGGACATGAGATTTGCATTGGCATCTGAATGACAAGACAAGTCTTGGGAAGATTAGGGAAGATAGGTGAGAGAACTAATGCTAAGATGCTGAGCAGATACAACTGTGCCCAGTTTGAGGAACTGAAAGAGACCATTGTGTCTGAGAAGTGGTGGCTGCGGGAGAAAGTGGTGTGAGGAGACATTGCCCTTCCTTCAGGAACTTATGAGGAAACAGTTCAGTCATCACACAGACAGCTTCTGACACCTCTCTTCTCATTGTGCAAACCACAGAGAACTTCAAATTTACAATAGCCTACAGAGCAGAAAAAGCAGAACATTTTCTTTAAAGAGTCTCCTTTTTTCTCCTCTGGGAGAAAATTTACAATAGCCTATAGAGCAGAACATCTTCTTTAAAGAGTCTCCTTTTTTCTCCTCTAGGCTACATTTTCCTTATCTGTAATCAAATGGTTGGAATGGCAATATTAACCTCACAGAGGAAGCAAACATTAATGCATATTTCATAGAGCCAGCCCATGCCAAGAAATCCAAGTTGTTCTCCAAAATCAAGGCTTACTTATCCTTCCCAAATTCGAATTTCCCAGGTCCAATTCGAAGCAGACAGCCATTAAGCCACTTAGGAAAATGTCCCCAGACTCGAGCAGAGATGCCCCGTGGAGCCTCTTCCACTGTGGTCAGTAGCGGTGCAACAGAAGGCAGACCCCAACACTGCCCAAAGATGGCTTTTTTCTGATGAGTATTTCCCATGTGCCTTTTGAAAACTGTGCAGAGGAAACCAAAAGCACAAAAAGTGTTTTACCAAATCTTCTATAAACTTGCCTGTTTCCCACAGGCAATAATCTTATAAACTGGCGTCTTGAGGGAAACGTGAACCTAACACCAAATACAGTGTCCAAATTTCCTCTCTCCTTCCTCATCCTCAGACTATCAACGCTTTAGTTCTATATTTTCAAACCACAACAATTCTTCCATTTTTTACAGTACTAATCTACCTAAGAATTAACTTAGGACTTCAGTTACTATTTTTCTCATTTCTCATAGTTGAAAAATGCCTGTTTTTTACAAGACTAAATCTACATGCCAACCCCAGATGTGCTAAGAGCAACCTTGTTGTTATAAAAATGACCACCATTCAATATTATCACAATTACATTGACCCCAATAATTTAGATATACCCACATGTGATTCCAAAGATTTCATAGCAATTCCTGTAAATTTAATAAGATCTTAATTTCTTTTATTTTAATGGTCTATACATGAATATATAAGGCATTTTCCAGCAGAAGGGTGTCAAAAATTAAATTATGCAGTGATATCCAGTCTGAAATTACCTAAAGTTCAAAAGGAACAAGAAGTAAAAATCATCTTTGTATAATAAGAAACTGAAATTTTTCCCTATTATTTTATCATGCTGAGTGTTCACAAGGCAGTACTGCCTAACATAGAGGGCGGTCAAATACATAATTCAGTGCTATAAAATAGAATTCTTTATTTTATCTCATAAAAGTTTAACAGTGATTCCAAAGTCTAGACTAGAAAAATAGGAACACCATTAAGAAGTGAGATTTGCTTTCTTTTAGCAAGTTACTACTATCCCATTTCTTTCAAATCTTTCAAAAATTCAGCTTGGAGCACACGAGACATTCTACTCTCCTACATGACATAAAACAATTAGTCAAACCTAATTCTTTCCTGATTTTTCAAATAAAATTCTCTTTCACCCTGAATATTTTTTCCAATGTCCTTATTTCTGGTTCTAAGAAAATTCCAGCGGGGCACAGTGGCTCACGCCTGTAATCCCAGCACTTTGGGAGGCCAAGGCGGGCAGATCATCTGAGGTCAGGAATTCAAGACCAGTCTGGCCAACATAATAAACCCCATCTCTACTAAAAATACAAAAAATTAGCTGGGCATGGTGACAGATGCCTGTAATCCCAGCTACTCGGGAGGCTGAGGCAGGAGAATCTCTTGAACCCAGGAGGCAGAAGATCACACCACTGCACTCCAGCCTGGGCAACAAGAGCTAAACTTTGTCTCAAAAAACAAAAAAGACAATTCCATTAATTGGTCCAAGGTCTATCTCCAGTGTTACAATACTTCCCTTAAGAGGCAGCATAGTGTAATATTTACGGGTGTGAGCTGGGCCTCTACTTGGCTTCAGAGTGGTTGGTTTCAAATGGGCCCTCTAACAAATAAGGAGCCTTGAGAAGGACACTCATCACTTCTCTGTGGTCTGTTTTCTCTTTTCTACGGTGAAGATAATGATAGTTCATATTACTTCTAAGGCTGTAATAAATGAATTTGTTTATGTAAAGCCTTTAGAACAAAATACTCAAAAAATACTATTATTATATTTACATGGCTTTTAATGATCAGTCCAATAATATCTTCATTTTATTCATTTGACAAAGTACTTGGTACTGCTGAGGGATAAAAAGCAATAGAACCCTGAAATTAAAGAGCTGACTGCCTAGTAAACATACCACTGACACTATAAGTGTTTTATTTCAACATTGTTTCTCAGAACCTGGTATGAGGACTACTTGCAACAGAAATACCTGGTGTTATTGCTAAAATGCCATTTCCTGGACTCCATTCTGGTCCTAATAAGTCAGAATCTCTAGGGAGAGGCAAGCAGGTATTCTTAGGCATACTAAAGTCAGGGAGCTATGGTATTAGAAGCACAAAGCAGGGCTGGGCACAGTGGCTCACGCCTGTAGTCCCAGCACTTTGAAAGGCTGAGGTGGAAGGATCACAAGGTCAGGAGATCAAGACCATTCTGGCCAACATGGTGAAACCCCGTCTCTACCAAAAATACAAAAATTAGCTGGGCATGGTACCACGTGCCGGACCCAACTACTTGGGAGGCTGAGGCAGGAAAATAGCTTGAACCTGGGAGGCGGAGGTTGTGGTGAGCCAAGATCACGCCACTGCACTCCAGCCTGGTAACAGAGCAAGGACTCTGTCTCAAAAAAAAAAAAGGAAGTAAAAAGAGGATGCTTTGAAAAGATAGTAAAGGAAATTCTCAGGTATTTATCTTACTCTACTTTTATTAATATTATGCATATTTATCTTATTCTCAGATTAAAATATATTCCCAGAGGTCACGTATGTAATTTACTCATTTCACTTTTTAAGTAAATTGAATAGCCTGATCGGGCATTTTTCTAAGTAGAGATACGAATTTAAAGCATTATACATTGAAGAAAATATTTACAAGTCTCTATCTTCTACACTCCATACCATGCTGTTAGTAATCTACTAAATGCTCTTCAAAGTTTCCATAGAATTTGACATTGACACTTTCTTAAACTCCTTTCTATTCATAGCTTCTGAGACATTGTCCTAGTCTAACTTTCCTGCTGACCTATAACTACTCTCTGCATTATGCTAGTTTTCTTACTTGTTAGCTGACAATCTTCAGCAAGTTACTTAATGTCTCTGAGCCTCAGGTTTTTCAGTGATAAACTGGAAATAAAAGGAAGTCAAAGTTTCCTATTTATGTCTGTTGTCATAATCAAATAGAAAGATAGTAGATGCTTTCCAAATCTCAATTCCCTTTATGGGCTCCTGGTCCCCTTATCACTTCGTGAATGTTCCTAAAGTCTTACCTTCCATCTTTACTCTCAGCACTCTCCCTTGGCAATCTCATCTAGTCTCTTAATTTCACCAATTACTTCTTCTTGCTGGTGACTCTCAACATGCTAAGAGAGAATTTTTAATTTCCCCCCTTCCAAATCAATTTTCTTCACCTAGGATATTTCCCAGTTCCTTCAGATGAAATTCACTCACCTAACTCATCCTTCAAGATCCAGTTTCCATGTCATTTGCGTTATAAACACAGCATTCCCCTTTCCTACAGCAAGAACTGATTCTCCTTAGTCTGAACTCACAGCATCTGCTTATAGTTCTCATATGGACCTTATTTCCTGTCTTGAGTGATAAAGGATACTACCAGTACTCCTTAAGCACAAGGTCTGGTCTTTGTCTCCCTTCTCCCTCCAGTAAGTGATATATCCCCTTGCATACTGCAAGCATTAAATTACTAAATTAATTTTAAAATTTATAGTGCATATTAGTATAATTTCTAAAAGCTCTAGATCAGCCAATTCCAATAAATAAAATCATGTAACAATAGTAGCTATAATAGAAAGCTATAAAACAATAAATGATTTTTAAGGCAGTCCCCCAAAATGCAAATAGAGAAACCAAACATTTACATTATAACATGTGGCAGCGATTTTTGAATTTAGAAAAGCCTAAATATTGAATATTATTCTTATTGCAAATCCAAACGAATCTGAAGTCCCTGAATCCTGCCCTAAATATTGTATAACATATACAAATGTTACTGGAGGATCCTTGAAAAATAGAAAATAAATAAATAATGAAAATAAAAATAACCACATACAAATGTGAAGGCTGTTTCCCTGACCATGAGGAAACAATCCTAACAGCCTTCTTTAACTTCCGGGGCTCTGCGGATTTGCTGTCTAATCTGATCCACACCGGATGGAAAGCTTCAGAAGTTCCCAGCAATGTTCAGGAAAGCAGCGCAGAATTCTAAGTGCAGCCTGGCAAGAAGAGGAGGATGAGGAAGAGAAAGGGGCAAACCCCCTACCTGGGAGCCGGTGCACCATCACAGGAAGGAAATCCACTGCAGTGGTAGAAAGACCACTGATAAAATGGAGAAAGACTCGGAAAAACATTTTTGTATTGAGCAGATCCCGTGATTTCCAAATCCTCCCACACTGGCAGTTTTGAGTACTACTAAACAACGAACAGGCACCGAACTGCCTGGACTGTATCTCCCTCACTGACGGGTCAAGGTGAGGAGGCGGTTAAGGGGCGGGGCTTATTTCCATGACAACCGTCCCAACAACCTATCTATAATAAGCAGCTGTTTGACCACCAATAGTGATCTCCCCCTCCCTAAGCTTTAGTTCTCACGCTATAGTTAAGTCCGATTATCTTGATCCACAACACCAATTTTATTATGCCACTCCTCTCCTCTGGAAGATTCCAACACAGAGTAAAGTCCAAGACTGCAACTAGACAACTCTACAATCTGGCAACAACTTAACTTTCATTCTTCTCTGCCTTTAAATCACTTCGTCCTTCCTTTTCTGTTCATTAATTTTACAGAACATTTTCTGACAATCTAGCATGAGTGAAAGTATGCCCTTAAAATGTATATGGCTTTATTAATTTAACATTTTTAACACCAATGTATCAAATACTGTGCTATAAAGTAAGAATACCAAGAAACAAGATTGTCCCTGCTCTCCAGGTGTTTAGAGGATACACTTATTTCCCTTCATGAATTATCATCCTAGCAACGTGACTAACATACCATAATGTTTTCTTCTGTGCTACTGAGGAAATTTCTCCCTTGCCTGGAATATCCTCTTTCCTTTTCAAAAATCCAATTAAAATCTACCTGACTCCCTTACCAAAAGATCTTCTAGTAACTCCCACAGCACTGCCACAGAGTTGCTTTTAACACTAACATATCATGTCTTCCTAGCAAAGTTGTAAGTGTATTTCAAGAAAGAAGTGGTTAAAATCGTCAGAAGGCAGTGTCTTAATACATCTAGCACATTACAAAGATGGTTCGGTATATATTTTGATTAGTAATTAATGAAAAATAACAAGAAACTTCTGAGGTTTTATTGAAATAGTAGAGTAACATTAGAAGTGTAAATTAAAGGGCAATGGTGTTCCTGAAATAGCATTTCTCCAGTTGTGAGGTAATTATTATTATTTTGAGACAGAGTCTCACTCTGTCACCCAGGCTGGAGTACAGTGGCATAATCTCAATTCACTGCAACCTCTGCTTCCCGGGTTCAAGCGATTCTCCTGTCCCAGCCTTCTGAGTAGCTGGGACTACAGGTACATGCCACCTTACTTTTTTTTTTAATTTTTAGTACAGACAGGATTTCACCATGTTGGCTAGGCTGGTCTCAAACTCCTGACCTCAAGTGATCTGCCTGCCTTAGCCCCCAACACAGCTGGGATTACAGGTATAAACCACCATGCCCGGCCAAGATAATTATTCTTGTCTTGTGTGGATGGTACCAAGCCATCCAAATTTGATTTTTAAAATAAGCCTTAATTATCAGGCTTTCAGGGACCTTTATACTAGAAGGTATAAACAATTCTGAACAGTAAATACATTGTGACTTAAAATCAGTTCTCCAGGCTTAATCATATCAAATGAAATAATCAAATCAATTTTCTGAACCCGAAAAAGGAAGAACTAGATGTTGAGCAATGGTGATACCATTAGGATATAACAAGTATATTATGAAATCTAATCTGAAACAATCTGTTGGCCTTATTTTTCATAGTAGTAATAAATGCTTAGAAAAAGTTACTCAAGAACATTTCTTAATGATGGTAGATCAAAATCCAGGTGACATGTCATATTAACTCACAAATCTTCTGGTTGTATTTAGTTTTCTTTTGGCCAGGCGTGGTGGCTCACACCTGTTATCTCAGCACTTTGAGAGGCTGAGGCGGATGGATCACCTGAAGTTCAAGACCAGCCTGGCCAACACGGCAAAACCCATCTCTACTAAAAGTACAAAAATTAGCCAGGCATGGTGGCAGGCACCTGTAATCCCAGCTACTGGGGAGGCTGAGGCAGAACAATCGCTTGAACCTGAGAGGCAGAGGTTGTAGTGAGCTGAGATTGTGCCACTGCACTCCCGCCTGGGCAACAGAGCAAGACACAGTCAAAAAAAAGGAAAAGAAAAAGAAAGGAAAGGAAGAAAGAGAAAGAGAGAGGGGAAGGGAGGGAAAGTGGGGGGAAGGAAGGAAGGGGGAGGAGAGAGAGAGAAGAAAGAAAAAAAGAAAGAAGAGAGAAAAAAGAAACAGAAAGAATTCTTTCTTTTTTTTAGAGACAGTCTGTCTGTCACCCAGGCTAGAGTGCAGTGATGCAATCATAGCTCACTGCAACTTCAGACTCCTGACCTTAAGCCATGCTCCCACTTCAGTCTTCCAAGTAGCTAGGATTAGAAATGGGAGCCACTGCACCTGGCCAAAAAAAAAAAATTATTTCTAATAGTTACTTTTTTGACCTCCAACCTATTCTGTGCCACCACCTCTATCAACCCAGGAATTTTTTCCGCTTACCCAATTTTCTTTAGCAATTATTTTATTTCACTTTTGTTATCTTCTCTTGTATGAGTATTTATGTCATGTGATGTTTATGCCTTAAAACAGTAATTTGATTTACTCGGTATATTCTCCGGAGTTATTGGTAAAAAGAAAAACAAAAAAATAGTAATTTGATGAAATGAGATTTTATTTTAGAGTTTAGAAGGCAGTCTCCCTTCGTAATAACAATTCCCTGTAGTACTATTTGCAATTTTCTGATTGCTTATATTGGAAAAATATACATGCAATAAACTGAACTGTCTATATGATTGAAAAATAGGTGCTATAGTAAAAGTCTGGTTAAAATAGCTATCCCATATAGTAATATATGATATAGAAAGTTTTCAGTAAAATCCTAGTAGTACTTTACATCAAAGGGATAATTTTCTTTTTTAGCTAGATGAATAGTATAGCTCCTCCAGTCCAAATTGAAGTGACCTCCCAAAGTCATCCTGTTGTTTAAGCCAATCTATTTACTTCCAGATCACTAATCTTTATCCCATACCACACTGCTGTTAATTTTTCTAAATATAATTCATTAACTGCACATGTTGATGTGGTTGATGTGTAAAGAAGCCAACTCATACAAGGTTTTGGTGAGTATTCTGGTTTTTATTTTACTACTTTGACTACAAGAACATCATTTTAAGCCAAGACTTTTTATTAGCCATACATAACAACAGTGAAAATAATCAAATAGAAACAGCACACAGATATGTCATTATATTCTAAGAAACTGGAAAAAATCACCTCTAAGGTTTTAATCTTCTTTTATAATCCTGACCATAAAAAAATTCAAAACTGACTCAAAAATGAACTGATATTTAAATAAAATATTCTAAAAGAAAAAGTATAATATTAAACATTATAAATTAACTGAATCCTTTTTTAGAAGTTTAAGAAATACTAGGAAGTTTAAGGAAAAAATAAAAGAATCCACATAAGATTAAATAATTACACTTCTATAAAATGCACTAAATGTTTGACCCTCAAAAGAAAAATGATGTAGTTCATGTTCATGTCCAGCTTAGGACATGAACATGAACATTAACATTAACATTAAGGAATTGAGAAGTTCCTTTTTAAATCTAGAAAAGAATTTCAAGGAGTTTCCCCTTCTCTGTTCAAAATATACATTTTCTTTAACAACGAGAGAGCTTTCAAAGCATAAATGTCATTCTTCCATTGTAACAATAAGAAGTTTGAATTCTCAACTTATTTCAAGTGTGTATTTTATCTGTGTAATGTGTTTGCAATCACTGTAAACCTCTGTCGCAAGAACTCTCTTTTTTGTATTAGAAAGTTTTCAATAGCATTGGCTTCTTTGAAGAGTTCATCTATCTCATCAATGAAAGACGCATCTACTGCTGCTCTCTCACTAATAGGAAAAAAAGTTTTGTATTAAACTAGGTAGTTATAAACACCATCATCATGTTGTTCTTCATTACACTATATTTGTTAACTATTTCATTTAAATGCCTTTATGTACCACAGAACTTCATTACTTTACTAATACTCTCCAGGAAAAAAATTAGTCCCACAAATATTTTTGACTACTAAAAAGGTCTCCTGACACAGCAGGAAGTGTATCTTATATGTTATAACACTAATATTAAATTATATACATTATTTTTACAGCCAACAAACCACTATCCAAGTATAATGACTGTCCAGCAATAGAAAAAAATGCTTTATAAAACATGACATCAGGTTAATAAAATAATCAAATTTGGTCTTAAAATAGATATAGGTAAAATATAAACAGTCATCCCTCAGTATCCACGGGGGATTGGTTCCAAAATCTCCCACAGATATCAAAGGGAGATCCCTCGTAGATGTTTAAGTACCTTCTATAAAATAGCATAGCATTTGCATATAACCTAAGAACATTCTCCCATATACTTTAAATTGTCACTTATAAGACCAATACCATGTAAATGCTATTTAAACTGTTGTTATACTGTATTGTTTGAAAAACAATGACAAGAAAAGAATGTCTGTACATGTTCAGTACAGATACAACCATTATTTTTTTCCCAAATATTTTCAGCGTGTGGTTGGTTGAATCTACTGACTCAGAATCCATGAAAATGAAAGGCTGACTCTCTACCATATAAGTATTTATCTTTAATATCACTTCATAATCATTAATTTCACCAAACATTTTTCTCAAAGAGGTATTTACATAAAATTTAAAATGTAATGTCATCTAATTACAGACCAAGATGTATACAGTCTAGTATTAGCTTGACAAGAGTAAAAAAAAAAAAAGATTTTTAGTGGAAAAGTTGAGGCTATTCCCCGAAAATAAACAACTAACCTATTATAAGGGACTGAGGTAGAATAAAAAATTCCAGGGCCGGGCACGGTGGCTCACGCCTGTAATCCCAGCACTTTGGGAGGCCGAGGTGGGTGGATCATGAGGTCAAGAGATCGAGACCATCCTGGTCAACAGGGTGAAACCCCGTCTCTACTCAAAATACAAAAAATTAGCTGGGCATGGTGGCGCGTGCCTGTAATCCCAGCTACTCGGGAGGCTGAGGCAGGAGAATTGCCTGAACCCAGGAGGCGGAGGTTGCGGTGAGCCGAGATCGCGCCATTGCACTCCAGCCTGGGTAACAAGAGCGAAACTCTGTCTCAAAAAAAAAAAAAAATTCCAAAGTTTAATTACTGGAGAGGTTTGGCAGCC